CGAGGGGCGGCAGCTACAGGCTTGCACCTGCGGTGGCGCCACGCTGAGAGGATTGTTGAATTGTATTTCGACGCATGAGCGCAGCGGGCTGGTCAACGACGAAATCACGACGGCTTGCGACACCACCTTCAGCCAGGGGTCGCGCGGGTGTCACTACGCGGGAAAGCCGACGATGCTCAAGTTCGTCAACGGCGAGCGCAGCATCACTATGACTGGGCATGGGACCGTTAACTTGGGCACCTACGAGTTCTTGCACCAGGTGTGGGGGCAGATTCCAGCGGTCGAGGAGGTGCTCCAGCGTGATTCCATTGGCTTCCGCAAGAGGTTCAATACCATTTGGTTTGGCGAGGCGGCTGGCCACCCGACGCAGAACACCGAGCAGTCCACGATTTTGATGACAGCGTTCATGTCTTGGATGTGTCAGAACGCCCTGCCCCAGCAGGAAGTGCACTGCTTCGATAATTTCTCGCTGTCCATGTATCGGGCTTTCGTGAGCGGCATCTCCAATTTCATAGACGAGAATCCAGGCCTCGACCAGCTCATACGGGAGAAATTGCAATTCGCCGACACAGACATCCTGCGGTTGACCAACGTCGAGTTCCGGATGTGCCAGTTCTTAGAGCACACCTCGCCGCTGCGCCTGGTCGAGGAGGGGGCCCCCCCGCGCGACAAGTGGTGCTTGCACGAGCTGTGCCATGCCATCCACGCTTGGCGTCGCCAGGTGAGTCTGTACATCGCGCACACAAAGTGGGACGCCGTGCACGGGCCCAGGCCCGCTCCCGCGGGGGCCGGGGCGCCGCGGCCCCGCGCGGCCCAGCTGCCCATTGACAGGCTGGCGGGCAACTTGATTCTTGCGGATCCGCGGTGCCGTGGCGTCGTGACTTCTGGCGATGCCCGCACGTGGGTGCGCGCTCGGCTCATGGCTCGCGGCGAGGGCGATGTGGCTGGCCGGGTGCACGGGGCCACCCAAGCAGCAGCAGCGGCCATCGCGGATGCCCCTGCCGCCGAGGACGGCGCAGACGCCGCCCCGCGGGCTAGGCGGGGCCGGCGCGTCCTCAGGTTCAGGAAGAACCCTTGGGCGACCGTTCTGGCGAACGAAGTCGCTTCCGCCTTCGTGGTAAGCTTGCAGCTCAATGCCGATTCCTTCGAAGATTGAGCTGGTCTCGCATTTGCGCGGCGAGAGTTGCTCGTCGAGAGCGGCGCGGCGAGAGCTGCGCGGTGAGAGCTGCGCGATTGGGTGGCGATCTGGGCGGCGCGAGCTGTCCCCGCCCGCGGCGAAACGACGTTCTAGTGGCGATATGCGCGGCGGGAGCTGCGGTTGTGGCGCGGCGGGAGCTGCGGTTCTTGGGTGTCGAAAGCTGCCCGCGGCATTTTCGCAGTGGAGCAGTGGGAGTGGGCTCACTGGTGGCTGCGCAGCCCCGCGCGCGGCCGGGGGCGCAGAAACGCGGCATCATCATCGTCGTCATCACCATCATTGCCATCGCCATCGCCATCACCATCATCATGATTATCATCTCGGTCATCATCGTGGTCATTGCCACGGTCATCATCATCATCATCGTCGTCCTCCTCCTTCCCCTCCTCATCATCATCCCCCTCCTCCTTCCCCGCCGCGGCGGCGGCCGTGCCCAGTGAACCGCATAGACTTCGGTGGAGTTCCCTATGGGGGCACGAAACATTTTTGGCCATGGCCGCCATGCGGCAGGACGATGATGACGATGGTGATGACGGCTATGGTGATGATGTTGTTGATGGTTTCGATGATTGTGGCGATGCTGACGACGATGGTGATGAGGAGGAGCAGGACGACGATGACGCGGTGGATGCGTTTTCAAAACGAGGATCCAACGCCAAAGGAGGGGCCAGAACGCAGAAAAGGAGGAGGAGGAGGAGGAGGAGGAGCAGGATGACGACGAGGAGGAACGTAGGAGGGAGGGATCGATTCGAGTCGGGAAGCGGGCTCTTCGGGAAAGGGGAGGAGGGTTGAGTCTACGGGAAGCGAAATCTGGCGGGGCATTCTGTGCGAGAGTTGGGCTCGGCGGTGAGAGGATGTTTTCGGTTTCGGTGGGGATCCCTGGGTCCGAGGAAATCCTCTTGAACCCTGGTCTTCGGCCGTTTTCAGAGCCTCTTGGGCGGTCCCGAAGCCGTCCAGTGAAGTCATGGGGCTATATCGGGCCGTCTTGGGTCCATGCTGGGCCATATTGGTGGCTTGGGACGCTGGCTTAGAACCGTCTCGGAGGTCATCCCGGGCATCTTCGACGCCGATGGCCTGGGGCATATGCTCGGATTCTGTGGCCGTCGGCCGTCAGATCTGCATGCGGAGTGAAAAAGGGGGAAGGGGGGGATACGTGAGGGAGGGAGGGCGAGGGGGTCGGATTCGAGTGTGGAAGCGGGCATTTGGGGAACAGAGAGGAGGGCCGAATGTATGGGAAGCGAAATCTGGCGGGGCGTTTTCTGCAAGAGGGAGCTTGTTGGGCAGCCCCGAGTCGATCCAGCGAACGAAGTCGCTTCCGCCTTCGTGGTAAGCTTGCAGCTCAATGCCGATTCCTTCGAAGATTGAGCTGGTCTCGCTTTTGCGCGGCGAGAGTTGCTCGTCGAGAGCGGCGCGGCGAGAGCTGCGCGGTGAGAGCTGCGCGATTGGGTGGCGATCTGGGCGGCGCGAGCTGTCCCCGCCCGCGGCGAAACGACGTTCTAGTGGCGATATGCGCGGCGGGAGCTGCGGTTGTGGCGCGGCGGGAGCTGCGGTTCTTGGGTGTCGAAAGCTGCCCGCGGCATTTTCGCACTGGAGCAGTGGGAGTGGGCTCACTGGTGGCTGCGCAGCCCCGCGCGCGGCCGGGGGCGCAGAAACGCGGCATCATCATCGTCATCATCACCATCATTGCCATCGCCATCGCCATCACCATCATCATGATTATCATATCGGTCATCATCGTGGTCATTGCCACGGTCATCATCATCATCATCGTCCTCCTCCTCCTCCCCCTCCTCATCATCATCCCCCTCCTCCTCCCCCGCCGCGGCGGCGGCCGTGCCCAGTGAACCGCATAGACTTCGGTGGAGTTCCCTATGGGGGCACGAAACATTTTTGGCCATGGCCGCCATGCGGCAGGACGATGATGACGATGATGATGGCGGCTATGGTGATGATGTTGTTGATGGTTTCGATGATTGTGGCGATGCTGACGACGATGGTGATGAGGAGGAGCAGGACGACGATGACGCGGTGGATGCGATTTCAAAACGAGGATCCAACACCAAAGGAGGGGCCGGAACGCAGAAAAGGAGGAGGAGGAGGAGGAGGAGGAGGAGGAGCAGGATGACGACGAGGAGGAACGTAGGAGGGAGGGATCGATTCGAGTCGGGAAGCGGGCTCTTCGGGAAAGGGGAGGAGGGTTGAGTCTACGGGAAGCGAAATCTGGCGGGGCATTCTGTGCGAGAGTTGGGCTCGGCGGTGAGAGGATGTTTTCGGTTTCGGTGGGGATCCCTGGGTCCGAGGAAATCCTCTTGAGCCCTGGTCTTCGGCCGTTTTCAGAGCCTCTTGGGCGGTCCCGAAGCCGTCCAGTGAAGTCACGGGGCTATATCGGGCCGTCTTGGGTCCATGCTGGGCCATATTGGTGGCTTGGGACGCTGGCTTAGACCGTCTCGGAGGCCATCCCGGGCATTTTCGACGCCGATGGCCTGGGGCATATGCTCGGATTCTGTGGCCGTCGGCCGTCAGATCTGCATGCGGAATGAAAAAGGGGGAAGGGGGGGATACGTGAGGGAGGGAGGGCGAGGGGGTCGGATTCGAGTCTGGAAGCGGGCATTTGGGGAACAGAGAGGAGGGCCGAATGTATGGGAAGCGAAATCTGGCGGGGCGTTTTCTGCAAGAGGGAGCTTGTTGGGCAGCCCCGAGTCGATCCAGTGAAGTCCTGGGGCCGGTCGTGGTGGGGCCAGCGCCTGGCAGCAGGTGCTTCCCGGAGGGGCATTCGGGGAGCCCTTCCCCAGTTCCCCACCCCATTTCCCCACGTTCCTCTCCCCTCCTCCCTCCCAATCCCTTCCTCCATCGTTTTTCTCCCTCTATCGGCTCCCTCCCTCCATCGGATCCCTCCCTCCATCGGTTCCTCCCTCCATCGGTTCCTCTTCCCTCCCCCTCCCTTCCTCCATCGGTTCCCTCCCTCCATCGGTTCCTCCTTCAGTCCTCCTCCGTCTCCTCCTTCTCCTCCTCGGTTCTAGCCGTATCAGGTGCCCTAGCTGCGGCGCAAGCTGCTGCGGGTCGTAGTTGCGGCGCAAGCTGCTGCTGGTGCCCTAGCTGTGGCGGAAGCCGCGGACAGTATCTGAATCCGCGGCGAAAGCTGCAGATCGAAAGCTGGGCCGCCCGCGGCGCTTGCTGCGGGCGGCCTCCCTGTGGCTCGAGGCGGCAGCTGCGGGTGGCAGCTGCGGGCACTCATGCAGCGTCCTGCTGCCAGCGACGCGCGGGCCGTCACGTTAAACCGATAACCCGATAAACCGATAAACCGATATGCGGCACAAGGATCGCCTCCACAGGTTCCCCCCCGGCGGTCTCAGACCAGCCAATCAACCGATAAACCGATCAACCGATAAACCGATAAACCGACGAAGAGAGGAGGGCGCGCCAGCAATCGCCTCTATGTTCGCATACGAAGATTATCGGTTGATCGGTTTATCGGCAGATCGACCGATAAACCGATATGATTATATCGGTTTATCGGTTGATCGGTTTGCAAACCGTTCAACCGATTAGTTTTTATCGGTTTATCTGTTTTTCGGTCGGATGGATTTCCGGAAGCCGTTGCCGCTGCACTCTATATATATGTATATATATCACCTTTTGCCACATGCATACGTTTTCCAGTTATTTCTCTCTCTCTCTGTATATATATATAGTTGTTTATATATTTTTTCTTTCTTTCTCTCTCTTTCTCTCCCCTTCTCGCCCTCGCCCTCTCCCTCCCCCCTCCCCTCCCCGGGCCCGCCGGCCCCCGCCGGCGCCCGCGGAGCCGCGCGGGCGGCGCGCGCCCTCGGCGGCGGCGGCTGGGCGGCCGGGCGGCAAGGCGGCGACGGCTCGGCGGCGGCGCGGCACGGCGCGGCGGGCTCGGGGGCGCGCGGCGGAAGTCGGGGTTGCGGGCGGGGATCGGGGCTTCCTCGATGGGGTCGGAGTAGATGTCTGGACGCCCGAGATGGGTACGGAAGGAATGGGTACAATGCTCAACAGCAGTGCCTGTTCATCTTGAACAGGACTCGCTGTCCGCGCCGCCGCGGTTTGTGTCCATCTGAGACAGAAGGCTGCTTGCCCAACAGCGGCCGCTGTTGGTTTGGGACAACATTTGTTGTTGGGCATTGTACCCATTCTTTCCGTACCCATTTCGGGCGTCCAAAAGATGGGCCCCCATCCTGGCGGAGTGGGGGTGGGGGGGCCTTCACAGCTTCAACATCGATGTTGAACCTGTGAAGCCCCCAGGCCCCCGCCAGGGGGGGGGTCTTCACCAGTTCAAATCGATTTTGAGCTTGTTAAGACACCCCCCATTAACAGGTTGAACATCGATTTGGAACCTGTTGGGAGCTTGCCTGGTGCTTCTACGCCTGGATGCCCAGCTGGGCCTCGGAGTAGATGGGGTCGGTGGCTCGCGCCGCATCGCCGGTGCATCGGCGGTGCGGCCCGATGTGTGGCCCGACTTGCTTCAGGTCGACGTCGTCGCTGCACCGCCGACGTCGACGGTACGTCGCCGGTGCATCGCCGATGCATCGCCGATGCATCGCCGATGCGGCGCGATACGCCGACCCCATCTACTCCGACCCCATCCAGGGGCCCCCCGGGGCGAGAATTAGCCGGCTCGGCGGCGAGCGAGCGGCGCAATATGACGAGCAAGTCAACACATCGCACGTCGGGGAAGGTACCCAGACCACTAGCCTTCTTCGTTTTCCCCCTCTTGGGCCTCCAGACCATCGCCGCCACCGCCGGATTCGTTGTGAAACTCTCGTCAGGACGCACCTTGGGAGAGGCCCGCGGAGTAGTATCGGTCCTTTCTGGCGTTCCCCAAGTCAGCGACGCAACAGGACGGGGTCGCACGTGTTCGCCGGCATTGGCGCGTCAGCTGCCCGCGTAAGGTCGCGCGTGAGCGCCCTCGGATTCCTCAGAGCGTGAATTACCTACCCCGCTTTCGCTTCCAGGCAAAACCAAGTCATACCACGCGTCTCCTCGTCAAGCGGCCTGACCAGTACATGCCGTGGTTTGGCATCGCTTGGTATCTCTTGGAAGCGAGGGTGGTCAAAAGCGAGGTAGGTTTATTTGTGCCCCCTAATTCCGTGCGGCGTGCTGCCCTGGCGGCGGCATGGCGGCCAAGCGGCCGGGCGGCGGCGGCGGCGGCGGTTCGGCGGCGTTTGGGCACTGTGCGGCCGGCTCCGGGGGCGGCGGGCGGGGACCAGCTGGCTCGGCGGTGAGCGAGGGCTGGGGGGCGCGTGGTGGGGGGACGATAACGATCAGGAGGGAAAAAACACACAGACACGATTCATCGTCGATTTCCAAGAACAATTAGGAAAATATGGGAAGTGGGGGGGAAGACAAAAACCCAGAAAATATAGGAAAATATGGGGAATCCTTTTATTTGCGTGTATTTATTTGTGTGTCCTGGGGCCCCTTCAGTGGTGGGGGGACGATAACGAGTGGGCAGCGGGGGCTGCCAGAAAGGGGCCTGTTAGGGCCCCTTGAGGGAACCCTCTCGGGCCCAGGAAGGGGGGCCTTGAGGGCCCCCCAAAGGGTACCTTTTTCCCGTCACTCATCGCCCCCCGTGAGACGCAGAAACCCTCTCAGGAGACGCGAGGGTTTCTGAGCCATCCGAGAAGGCCCGCCCCGTCTCATCCGCCCCCGCGGGGCTCGCCGCCGACTGGCAGGTGAGCGACGAGAGAAGACGGGGTCGTCTTCACAGCGTTGCCGTGCAAGCTGCCCGCGCAAGGTCGCGCGTAAGCGCCCTCGTTTTCCGCGCTGCCAGCGTAAGCCACCGCGTGGATCGGTGTACTGCCTCGCGGGAGAAAGTTCTTTGTTTCTCGTCGCTCAGGTGCCCTGACAGGCGGACGTTGCATCTTGTTATGCGGACGTTGCATCTTGTTTTGCACCAGGCGTTTTCGCTCGGTTTCGGGCCTTGGGACCCTCACATATTGATCTGGGTCGGGGAGTGCAGTAGAAAGACCGGGTGTGGGGCGCTGTTCGTGGATCTTCGACATGCCGTTCTCGTTCCGCAGCCTCGGACCTCAGGGCGACGGGATTGAGCGCAAACGGAACTCAGCCAATTACCGAAGCAGATATTCACAATTGCGGCACCCACGAGTGCAAACTCTGCTCCCTCGTATCCTACTCTCGACATAGCTCTCCTCGGACAACTCATAGACGCTGCCTGCCGAAGAAAATAGTCTACACTGCCAAAAAACCGCCAAAGACGGACTGCTGCATCGGATCTTGGTCGAACAACTTGCACAGGCCGGACTTTGGTTGCGCGGGTTTTGGGAGCTGCTCGCGGCCTTGAGGTGGCCTCGCATATTGGCTTGTGGACGACGGTCAATGAAGAGGAAGCGTTTTGCCAGATAATTTCCAGATGCCTAGAACACGTCAAACCATGTCTTGAACATGTAAATGTTTTGAACATGTTTAGGATATTCTCCTAACATTTTAAACACATGTCTAATTCAACGATAGGATTGTTAGGATGTTCATTGTCATGGCCTTTGCAAATATTGGCTGAGCTGGGTTTGGGAGGCCTCCCGAGAAGCTGCAGCGCATTGCTGTCTTTCCAAACTGGCTGAGCAGGGTCTGCGCCGAGCCGGGTCTGTCCACGCCCGAGGGGAATGGCCCCGCCGTGTCCAGAAACGGGTACAGTCGGCACGGATTAGTAGGTTGACCTTCGGAAATCAAGGGAATCTTTGTGTCCTGTGTCTCGCGTCCCATGCCTCCTTACCTTGCTATGGCAATGTGGCCCTCGGGACCTCGGAAGGGTCTTGTGTCATCTCGCGTGTCCTGTCCAATCAAGTCCGACTGTAGTTCGGCAGCACGCAGAAACGGTGGCAGATGGGTGGCTGGAGAGTGCCATTCTCGAGGCTGTGCCAGGAGAGTGCCAGGATAGGCGCCGCTTCCCTGCATAGGGGCCGTCTGCTGAGTATCTCACTGTCGGGGGTGGACAGACCTCTTACCCTGACGCGTCGATTCATGAATTTACCGTTTTCGGTTCGCGAGAGGGCGTCGCGGCCCGCATTTTTGCGGGTCCAGGTTCGTCGGTTTCGGTCCCAGGCCGTTTTCACCAAGGGGAGGTTTACGAAAGGGAGGCTTGTCCACCGCCGACGTTGGTGTGGCGCCGAGGGAAGGTCGGAGAAGGGCGAGGTGAGACACTGGAAACTCAAAATCGGCTCGAGATCGGCCCCCAGACCCCTCGTGCAGTCCCAACGCGCCAGTTTCCCGAGCTGCGTCCAACCGTGGCGACGACGGCCCCCACCCCCGAAGGCCAATGAATTACAAGGGTCTCCAGCGGCCCTGCGCCGAGAGGAGGCACGGGAGCGAAGAACGGAGACGCGAGCGTGCATGAGGCCGCACGGGAGCAGCAGCAGGAGGAGGAGGCGGAGGAGGCGGAGGCGGAGGAGGAGGAGAGAGCATGCGCTGCGTGGGCGCTCGGGGCGTGGGGGCGGCCTGGCGAGTCGTCCGAGGAGGAAGAGGCACCCGTGCCTCCTGCCCTTCCCTCGTGTTCCCCTCTTTTGGCCTCCGGGGGTGGCCCTCGCCGCCACCGCCGGGCTCGCCTCGAGCTCCTGGTCAGAGCGCGCGCTCCGGGAGAGGTCCGGGAAGTAGCGGTATCGGTGCCTTTCGTCTCCCCACTTCGGGAGGCAGGTGGCGCGTTATTGCGCCTCTGAACGCGCGTGCGTCCCGTCGTGGGCGCTTTCCGGCGGGGGAGGGGGCAGGAGAAGGAGGCAGGGGTGGAGCGAGGGTACTCCAGATGTCGTAATAAAAGGGAGGGGGTCTGGACCCTCCAAGACAAGCCATTTCAGACCTCCCCCGTGGGAGAACCCTCCAAAACATCGTCCCCAGACCCCCCCAGGCCCTCCAAGATAGCCTGGAAGAGACCCCCCCCGAAGTGAGACCCCCCTCCCTTCTATTACGAAATCTGGAGTAGCGTCTTTCTGGACTGCAGGGGGCAGAGCCGGAAGCGCTCGTCGCAGAGCGCCACGAGGGAGTACCTCGGCGAGCGTCGGTGTGGAGCGGTCCCTCCCTGCAAAACCGTGGTAGTGCACCGCGACGCACGCAGTTCCAACATCACGTCAAGAGTGTGTGTGTGTGTGTGTGTGTCCCCGACGGTCGTGGTCCCGTTTGCTGTCGTGATCCCCGTCGGCCAGCGGCGTGCGCCAGGTATGGGCCAGTCCGCCCGCGGGCGGCCGCTCACAGAGACGGGGCCGTGCAGGAGAAGCACCTCAAAGACTAGGTCCCTGGGTTAACGGGCGAAAAACGGTATAAGATACACTTTTCCGCCGTCGGGGACACCTGCCCCAGGGCGGCTGGAAAGTTTATACCCTTACGGTGGCACCGTAGGGGTATGAACTTTCCAGCCGCCCAGGGACAGGCGCCCCCGACAGCGAACAAGTGTATTCTATACCGTTCTTCGCTCGCTGACTGGGGGCTTTCCCAGATCTGCGGTGGCAGCGAGACAATGGGAATGAGGACAACAAAGAGAGGAGAAAGGGGGCTGTCCAACTTGAAAGCAGGGTTCCCTCTAGCAGCAGCCAGAGGATCGCTGCCATCATTCATCCTGCAAGTCTAGCTAGCTGCCCTGGGCCGAGATCGATTTCCCCAAGAGTGGGAAAGTGGGCGGGCGTGATATACCCAGGGAGGCAAGGTGTGAAGCGAGGGCGGATGGAGGAGTGTGAGCAGACGCGAGGTAGAGGGGGAGGGGGAAGAGGGGCGAAGCGGAGGGTGGGAGAGGGAGGGGGACAGGGATGAGGGGTTCGTGGAGGGAGTGACGCGTCCACTCGCAACGCTGGATCAGTACGGCGACGATTATGTCTCATGGCCTTCGGCCCATTGGATGTGGGTCTGAGGCCTCTTGGATGGTCGTTGGGATCTCGTCGAGGCCTTTCGGGGGCCTCCTGGAGGCAGTTTCGATGCCCCTGGGGGGCTACTTCGGATTGGGTCCTCTTGGGGGCCTCTTGGGGCCTCTTTGGGGCCTCTTAGGGTGGAAGGCTCGGGTTCTCGATTCGTGTTCCCCCTCGTGGGCCCCTGGGGCCTCTCTTGGGGCCGTCTTGGAGCCCTCTTGGTCCGTCTTGGGCGCTCTTCGGCGGTCTTGGGGCCTTCTTGGACCGTCTTGGGGCCCTCTCGGAGGCCTCTGGGGTTGTTTTGGGGCGGTCTTGGTGGCCTCTTGGGACGTCTTGGAGCGTCTGAACCTAGTTGAGAACCCCCAAAACATTGAAACACTTAAAGGCGATCACTGATTTCGGGCTCTCGGGGCCTTCTTGTGAAGGCTATTGGGGCTCCATTGGAGCGTCTCGCTTCTTGGGCCATCTTGGGGCCATCTTGGGCGTCTTGAGCTTGCCTTTCGGCGATTCGAGACCTTTTAGACAGTCTTTCGGAGGCCTTTTGGGGCCACCTGGAGGCCGAACATGTCACGCGAGAAGACGCCAGAAGTCCAGGGGCCACGTGGGGAGCCCTGGAAGATCCGAGGAGCCTGGTTCTGCGTCCGCTGGAGGATCCTCAGGACCGAGGACGGGGGCTCCAGCGGCCCGGGCCTGCCCAGCCTCCCCGGGGCCCAGTGCGCGCGGTCAGGGCACGGAGGCTCGATCCCACGGATGCGCTCTGCGAGGGGCATCCGCGCCGAGCCGCCCTGCATCTGCGGCGTCGCGGCCGGTGCGAGCCCAGGCGGAGAGGCACCGGATGTGGATACAGTTGGGCGGCACGGCGTGCCCCCCGAGCTGCGGGATCCAACAGAGGACCTGAGGACACTCCAACTCGTGTCTCAAGGGCACGGTGGCGGATACTAGATGTATATAGATACACGTCTCTATGTTCGGCCATGGTTCGCACGCATGTCTGTTAATCTCCGGAGATATATTGACTGTCGCAGTCGTGAGTTTTCACACGTTTTTGCAACGCGTCCCAACCCGAGCAACCTCCTTACTCTTCCTACTCCTCCCGTTCCTCCTCTTCTTCCTCCTCTTCCTCCTCCTCCTCCTGCTCCTCTTCCTCCTCCACTTCTTCTCCCGCTCCTCTCTCCCGCTCCTCCTCGCTCTTTCACCCTCCTGCCTCCTCCCTCTTTCTTGCTCCTCCTCCTCCTCCTCCTCCTCCTCCTCCTCCTCCTCGTCCTTCTTCCTCCCGAGCCCCGTCGCTGTCCGACGCTTTTCCCCTTCCCGCCTTCTTCCTCCCACTCCCCTTCGGCCCTCAATCCTCCCCCCCGTCAAGCCCGCCCAACCCCCTCCCCCCTCCCTCCTCCCCCTCCCCCTCCCCCTCAGCCCGCCCCCCTCCCCGCAGTCTCGCCTCTCCCTCCCCCTCCCTCCCCCTCGGCCCCCCCCGCCCCGCGCACGCGTGGGACCCTGGTCCCCAGGCGGCGGCGCCCTGCGCGATGGCTGGTGGCACGGGCCTCAGCGTCGGGACACCCGCGTGCTGCGGGCAGGGCGCGGGCGGGGTGGGGGGGGCACGCTTCCTGCCAACGCGAGCGCGGAGGAGGCCGAGGGAGGCGGGGGAAAGGGGCGAGAGGGAAGGCCGCCCCGGCGATGCCAGCGCGGCGCTCGGCGGGAGGGGGGGGGGGGGCACATCCAAGACGCGGGAGTAAGCCCAGGGATCCGACGCTCTTGGAGCGGCGCGTTTGGGGCGCTCTCGGCCTCCGGGCTCCCTCGCCGGGCCTCGGGAGCGTCCGCACGGCTCGGGGCGAGAGGCAGGTCCCGGGGACGTGGTCCAGACCTCCTGTGGCCCGCGCCGCGACGAGCGTCGGAGCGGCCGGGTGTCTGGGCTGGCTGCCCTGTGGGCTCGGGGGGGGGGGGGCTCCCGTCTCCGGGCCGCTGCTCAGAGCTACCCCGAGCATCTAAGCATCTAAAAAACTAGTTGCGCACTAAGAATTAGAGGCGCAATTCCAAAAATTGGCTCTTGAATTGAAATTAGAATCAACTCCAATGTTTGGAATTATGCTGTGTTGTGTATATATAGATGTATGTATATATGTACATGCAAATATGTTGTACGTACATGAGGCCTTCAGGAGGCCTCCAGAAAGCACCCGAGTTGAGCCAAGAGCTCTCCAAAACGGCTCCAGAAAAGGCTTCCTCCTCCTCCTCCCCCTCCTCCTCCTCCTCCATGTGTTCCCCGAAGATGTTCCACGACGACTCGGAGAGCACGCGGTCCGATAGTTTGGGCCTGCTTGGTCCACATCCCGACCACAATGGCGTTTTCGAAAAGGCAGGGGGAGGCAGTGAATCGCCGCAGGCGTCTTCGATATATGTACCAGCAGAGAAGGCGGGTTCTGCCGTCATCGAGGAGACCTTCCCCCGAGCAGCAGCAACAGCAACAGAAGCATCAGCAGAAGCAGCATCAACAGCAGTAGCATCAGCAGCAATAGCATCAGCAGAACGGGAGCAACAGGAAGCAGCAGCAGCATCAGCAGGAAGATGAAACTCTCTGGGTGTTTGGACGTCTGGGATTCGTTCGTCGCCACGGTTGGATCCGCCTCGATCGCGACTTTTGTCAGATCAAGTCTTTTGAACTGTCTGGAGGAGATGGCGGCGGTGAGAAACGGTGATTTCGACTCGACTTGGCCCCAGGACCCGTGGCTCCCCAGGACCAAGGCTCCAGGACTAAAGCAGCACCCCAGGGCCAAAGACTCAAGGTGGACCCCAGGACCGAGGACAAGGCGCGGAGAAAGAGACGGAGAGCGAGAGAGAGAGAGAGAGAGAGCCTGAGAGAGAGAGAGAGAGGGCGGAGTCGGAGGAACGAAACTTGTTTTTCTGTGCGCGGCCACTATCAAGGCCAGTAGGCTACCTGCCTCGCAACCTGCCAGGCTGAAACTGGGCATGAGCCCCACGCGCACGTGACACCGCTCTTCGAGCTGATCTTCAGAATGCCCTCGAAGTGAGGTGGCAAGTCGGTCACATTGTTCACGTAGTAGCACCTCTGGTCCAAACGGACGCAGATGGAGCAGCGGCCGAGTTCGTTCGTGATCGTGTAGGTCTTCGCCGTGCCGAGGTCCTCGGGCGAGGCGAGCTGGGCGTCACGCGGCAGCGTCTTCATCACTTGGATCCGCCTGGTAGTCTCTGGCGCTGCAGCCTCTGGCGCTGCAGCCTCGGCGCCGTCGCCCTTGGCTTCTGCTGGGGTGACTGCGGCTGGCCTTCTGCGAGCAGCAGCTGGCCTCCTCTTGACGGCTGGTTCCTCGGGCTCTTCAGCATCGGAGGCGTCGTCGTCGTCGTCGACCTTGCCCTTGCGTTTCTTACCTTTCTTCCCGCCAGTGGGTGGGGTGGGAGTCGGGGCGCTCGGCCTCACGAGGAATGTTGTATCTGGCGAGATGTATTTGTTCAAGATCTCGGTTTCGAGCGTCTCGCCGAACTCGGTGAAGTGCGCCACTGCAAAAGTGTCGCCCTTCGTGTACGTGTCAGCCATCACGACGCGCCCGTCTGAGAGCCGCAAGTTGGCGTACGCTTTGGCCTCACCGAACACTACCTGCTTGCAAATCATGGTGGCGCTGCCGTCGTCCATGGCGTAGTCGGGCGTGTCCTCGTCATCATCGGGCTCTGGCTCGGCCGCGAATGCCACGAAGGGGTTCCTCCTGGCAGTCGCAGGTGGCGAAGGAGCCCTGTGCACTTCGAACATTGCATATACTTTCCTGAGCTCCTCAGGGTGGTTGCGAGCACTATCTTCCCTGTCGGTGCCCCTGAGCTTTGCGAACTGGGCTTGCTTGATCCGCAGATGGGACAACATCACCCTGACCTTGTACGCAACGAACGTTGCACTCGTGTTGTGCTTACTCCTGAATTCGTCCCACGCAGCAGAGAGCTCCGACGTATCCCCGAGGATCTGCACAGCGCTGGCGACATCGGTCTGTGCAAAAATACCACCGCGCGAGTCCTGGCGGATCAAGTGCATCGACCGCTGCCTCCAGGATCGTCTACCCTAATGGAGATGATAGTCAGACCCTGGAGCCAGCGTTACAAGGCACTCAATCGCGTTGGCCCGCCCGCAGTCCGGCGCGATCAAAGGCGCCAGCAGCTCCCCCGAGTACAACTGCAGCTGGCCCACATCGATCCCCAGCTTCATGTCATCAGAATTGTACTCGTACTTCAGGTGGCCGAAACTAAAATCTCGGAATGATGGCGCCAGCGCCTCAGAGATCACGTTCGGGGTTGATTGCCCCTCATCTGCAACGAACGCTGGCCGCCGATTGAGGGCCATCACACAAGAAGTCAACCGCGCACTTTCTCGAGTCAAAGCGGCTATGATGGGGAGGGGGAGGAGGGGGAGGAGGAGGAGGAGGAGGAGGAGGATTGATTCAAACCTCAGGGACCGAGCGCGATGGAAAGGTGGAGCAGGAGGACGTCGCTCGTACCAAGAGGGCGCCACACACCGCGTCTCGATAAGAACCGTGGTTCCTAGGGCCATGAGACTTAGAAGAAACGGCGTGGCTATTTGATCGCATCAGTTGGGAGACGATTGGGGACGCACCTCGATCGAAGAAGACTCTGGGAATACTTCCGAATACGGGGGCTCGGGCTACTCTAGAAACACTTATGGAGGCCTCTGAAGCGGGAGCGCTCTCGGACAATTCTTGGAAGACTTCTGGGGGGGGATTGGGTGTGAGGAGGAGGTGACTGTTTTTGCAGGTATGCTCTTCCGCTGGCTTCCCCTACGTGCCCGCAAAAGTGGGCAGCCTTGCGACATGCGAGCATCGTATGCGCCGAGCTACAGCAACAGTGTAGCACAGAGCATAGCGCAGCGCACCCTCAGACTGCCCAAGAAAAGCTAGGAGCCATGGGTCTCGACAGAAGATTATTTCTTCTTGTCGAACTCGGCAAGGACCTCTTTCGAGAACTTCTTCCAGACGCAGATCATCGTTTCGTTCTGTGTCTCGTACATCGCGGTCTTGGCACGCATCTCTGTCAGCGAAGTGGTGGGAGTGACAGAATCGAGAAATTTCTTGGCTTCGATCCACTCCTGTTTGAGGATGTCGGTCGCATCGTCGACCTTCTTGGATTCCGCCCTGAGGTATTTGACTGGGCCAGTCGTGTCCCACTTCTTCTCCTGCAGCTTGGCTTCGACCAGCGACACCATTCCGAGGTCCTTCTGGACCTTGTCGTAGGAGGTCTTCATGATGTTGACAGCCTTGGTGACCTTCTCGAGTGCCATCGCACGCTCCTTCTCCTCAGGGCTGAGGCTCGGGTCGCCCACGGCATTGCGCTTCTTGGCGGTGCGCTGGACTGTCGCAGCTGTGGGCTTTGAGAAGCCAGGGTTCCTCGTGTCTGCCATGTGGGCCGCGACCTCCCCCGCGCTCTCATTATCTATGGTGGCAGTGGACTCCACGACGGCACCCTGCTCCGTCCTCTTGGTGGTGCCGTCGTGAACCACTGGTACTGGAGCACGCCATTCTCCCTCAGGGCCTGGTTCTCCGCGTGCGGACGTGAAGGACAGGTCAGTACAGCAACTTTCGCGTTCTCCATCGAATTCAGAAACTCTGGGCCCGCCAACTGTTCGATCGTCAACCAATGCTCCTGCTTCTGGTCCTTCGTGCCAGTCGTGCGCTTCGTCCAAGTTTTACCCAGAGATCAACCCTCAGCAGGGCCCAGGAGGTATTCCGCAAGCCACTCGGCACGCTCCCCATCATCGTGCAGACCCTTGTACTCCATGAACTTGGCCTGGTTGTGTCGCTCAAGGTGGTTGCGCATCGCCGTCGTTGCAGCATTGCGTTGCTTCGAGACCGCCTTCGATCCCGCTGAAGTCGGATCGATGCCGCCGTTCTGTTCGAGAAGCTTCTTGAACTCCACGCACGCCTTCGGCAGCTGGTCCTGCTGCAGCGGCTTCCGGCCTGGCATGGCTCAACGGATGAAAGTTCCCGGCCTCAGGGTTCGAAGCGCAATCTCTGAGAGCAAGATGGCTACGAAGATGCTGAATTGGGCGGATCCAGGCAAGCTGCTTGAATGGTCAATCCGTTGTTTCAGTTTGGGCTATACTCCGACACCTAGATCGTCCTGGATTTCATTTTATATTAATTCGGCTTGAATTCATAAATAATGAAATTAATACAACATGGTTCTTTGTAATTCATTATGATCCATTTTGTATTAATTTCATTGTTTATTAATTTTGGGCTGATTAATATTTAATGGGGCCTCTGGAACCTACTGAATCCCTGCTGAGCGTCGCCTTAGTCTTCGTCAGGTTGCCAACGGGGCCTCGACTGATATATCGCCAGAAGCCCCCTGCATGTCGTCTGATCACCTTGGAAGGCCATTGCAACAGATGATGATTTCTACTGAACTACCCCCTGGACTTCGAGAACGCATGAGAGGCGCTAAGTGGCAAATCAGCTACGCGTCGCCTAGAATTGAACTGAGCTCAATGAGCTCCTCAAGGATCTCTGCACGGGCGGCAATGC